ATATACAGTTTGTTAGGGTTGGGCCAACTAACAAAAAAACCCCGTTGATAAAAATATAATTATTGTATATCTACCCTTTTGTTTAAACAACAATAAAATAATTTATAATTAAATTGAGAAAATTTCATATTCTTATATGAAAACAAAGCAAAATTTTTTATTTTTCATAAAAATCTGAAATAGTGTTGTGTTTAATTGTTGAAAATTTATCTTATAATGATTATTTGTAAAGTACGAAAAGCAAATGTTTTGCTAACATATCCTGAAAATTTCTGAGTTCATTGTATTCATTCTTTATTCCATCAGATCTCAAAAATGAAAAAAATTTCATTTCAAAAAAATAAAAAAGAGGCTGAACCCAAAATAAATACGCACAAAATTTTTATATAGCGGGAAAGTTAAAACAATATAAATATAAAAAATTTAACTTGAAGTTAACGATCAACACTTTTTTTGGTTCATGAGTCAATTGACAGCATTGCCATGTCATTTTTTGGGGACAAAAAGGAACGTGGTTTTTATATAAGTTTAAAATTATGAAATGTTGCAAAAAAAAATTTACCCATGGACTTGCTTTCCTATATTAAATTTTTTTTTTTACACCATTACTATTAGATTTTGCCCTTTTTAGTCTTCCTTTTATTTATTTATTTATTTATTTATTTATTTATTTATTTATTTATTTATTTATTTATTTATTTATTTATTTATTTATTCTGTTCATTTAATTTTGGTTTTTTCTATTATCTTGAATTTCATGCAAACACACAAAGCGCAACAAATAAGACTTAATTTATATATTTCAGCTAAAAAGGGGGACTAATATAAAAAAAACGGAGGGAAATCCATGAAACAGACTTTTTTTAACTATTTTAAAACAGAGAAACCTAAACTAAAAAATATTTTTCAATTGTATCAGGCATTATTCATATTAATGTCTGTATCGAAAGATTGCACGCTGATATTTAGGAAAGAACAATTTCTGTTTTAAGTTTACATTTTAAGATACCCCTATGCGGTGGAAAATCATAGCTTTTTAATAAAATTTACACCATTAGACGCGGAAATCATTTATGAAAAAAATGATATATAATTCAAGAATATTAAGTGTAAATATAATACCGTCCGTGTGATTATCACGGCACTACCCCAAACCGTGTGATAATTACGACCCTGCGTAATAATCACACGCGTGGTAATATTACCACGCGTGTGATAATTACGCGACACCGGTACCAATCCTTTGGGAGTATTATATAAGAAACAAGTTTGTATGTCAACATGGCAAATATAGATGATCAATTACGTATTCTGGGAGATATTGACGCTTGGTGCTCACGCTCCATTTCATTCCTGAACGTTCAACAGTTAGAATTCATGGACATGTAAAGATATTTAAAGTAAAACATGTTTGATATAAAAAAAATAATAAAATTAAGAAAAACAAATTTAAAAAAATAAAAATAGAAGATAAATAAATAAATAAAGAAAAAAAGAAAGAAAGAAAGAAAGAAAGAAAAACAAGAATGTTCAATTTGAAAATAAAAAAAGTTTTAACAGAAAGGGCTTCTCGTGCAAATGACAATCTTCATGTACATAGAAATAATAATATTGTTACCCCATAATATAAAATAGTAGAAAGAAATAAAAAGAATATAATTGTTACGTTGTTTGACTTCTAGAAACATTAGTAAAAAACTGTTAAAATTCATTACTTCATACTTAGTTTATTATTTTTTTTTTTGAATTAGAATGCATTAATTTTCTAAAGAACAGGCACCGATAATTTATTTTTCTGAGGTATGTCCCCTTCTATACTTAAATTTTTTTGTCTAACTTTTTTGTGAGTTTCTCAAAATATATCAAAGAAGCCACTTATACAATGTAACTTGTATTACTTGTTCACCATAAAGAATGAAAGGCATTTCTAAAGGACAGATTATCATGCTATCAAAGCAAATTTTACTAAGTCATTTCTCCTTTTCTATACTTGAATAGTTTCCAAAAACTGTAAACGTATTCAACTTGAAATAGTGGTTGACTATCAAGTCTGCTAAGCATGCTTGCAGAATTATGCCTCCTTTTCTATGTTGCTTTTATTTAGCTCTTCAGCACTTGGAAAAGTAAAGTGCGCTGTCCACGGAAATGTTTCGTACGGTGACAGTTAAAGGGCACTGATTGTTAAAGGGACGCAACCCTTGTTTATCAATTTGTTCGATCAGTGTAAGAGTTACATACCTTTACGCAGCTATCAAAATTTACAATATAATTCGCAGATGTGTTTCTTTTCGTAAATGCCGGACGGTATTTTTAATGACTGTTTATAAATATTCTTCGTTCAATGGTTTGCAAAACTTTTATAAAAAAAGTCCCAATTCTGTGTAATATTAATTAATGTAAATTGCAGTAATTAATACGGTAGTTCTTATTTTCCCATTCTAATCGACATTAAATAGATGTTTGCAATGTGCGTATCGGCTGTATCGGTCATCGATGCACTAAAAGACCATAATGAAAACCGAAAGAAGTAATCCCCGTTTGTACCGCACAGCAATACCGTGCGAGGATAGCTTAAGTTTTAACAGCCCAGCCCATTGTCCATATAATGCCTGTATATTATGACTTGGTTGGGTATTATATCATTGTTTATATATGTGGCATGACATTTTATACAAGCTTCTCTTTAACATTTAACCATTACCCGCTGGAACCGAAAGTGAACAACCTTTGCCACCAGAATGTTTTACTTTTAAGAAAGATAAAAATTAAATTTTTACTTTCTGATTCACTTGTATAACTAAAACATCTTAAAGAAAACTCTGAAAGCAAACATCTTTATCCATATTCATTTGTTACTTCGTTTTGTTAAACAATAACCTTTGACCCGTAAGGACATAAGAGAGAACAAACAAACAATACAACAAATAATGATACATACATGGCATTGAAGTAAATAAGAAAGATGACTAAGAAATTTCAGCATTATTGCTTTAACAATCATTGCTAGTTCTTTTATCACTACACGTACATTAAAAACGAGAATAAAGATCAACAAGGCAAAGGCAATGTTCACAAGACGCACCTTGAACATATGAAATACTAGCATAACTGACCGAAATGACATAGTCATAATGATTTCGTTTGCTCGAAAACAACAGACGCTTGCTAACTTCAGACGTTTCCATATTGAAATCTCAAAATTGACAAAAACTACAGACTAAAAATCGGAGGAGCTAATTTCATTTAAAGATCCTGTAACACAATGTTTTATGGTTTTAAATAAAAAAAATGATGGTCAAATTAAGATTTATCAATATTGTAGGTTCCAAAAAGCATTATTTATAAAGATATTACCGAATTTTACATTTCATGTAAATAAAGGGAGGTAATGAAACAATATTTTCTATAAAGTTTAAGTCAAATTTTACAAAAAGAAATGAATGTATACATTTTAATGAGTACATATAAATATGTACAAATATTTGCAGTACATATTTTATATATTCTTCGATGTTTGAAAATTGTTTTATTTGCATAATTATATACATGTATATAATTTCACCTAGTGTGGTTTACCACTTTGATGACAACATACAGGATCTTTATTGTCAGAAATAGATTGTTTGACAGGTAAACAAAGTGTCATGAATAATTCATGTGATCAAACATGCATAGTGAACATCAAAACAATCTTTAATTGTATGCATACATTTACTTAAAAAACATAATGCACAGCATCTGTTGCAAGATGTTACATAATCTGTTCATGATTAGCACAGTTCGGGCGCTAGCAATTCTGTAGCTGTATTCGATGCACTGCGCATATCCAGTTTCGGTGATCGCCAAGTTTTTGGAACCACAGAGATTGCGGATATGGCGAAGGTTCGATTTGAGTAAATCTGTGACGTCGCTATTGTCTTACAATTGTGAATATTTTGCGTTGTATAGCCGGACAACTGTGACCATAGTTACCGCCCGAATAATGCCGATATCACGCCTATAAAGGTGCTTTAACTTATTGGTTATGTAAAGATGTGCGAATGACAGAAGGCAATATGCTGTTACTTATATACTGTTAAGGTGTATTGAGTTAAGCCTTGACTTTTGAATATAATCAAATAAAAACGAAACAAATTGCTTGCATATTCTAGCGGCAACATGTTCCATCATTGCGACAAGTAAATTCTTGCCGTCACAATTGTATATCCGACCAATTGTCGAACCTTGCCGATATCACGCTAAATATTGCTCAGATATATTTTGTTGACAGCATGTTCTACTCGGTGGACCAGTACAAAGCAAGATCAGCTAGTTCACCTGATCAGTCCTCGCTTATCACTGTTTAGTTAGTATAATCAATGATAATAATAATAATAATAATAACTGGTTATGTCCTGATTGAAAAATGGACCAGTCCAATTAAGTTTGTTTGCATATTAACATATTTAGGATTAATAAGAGTTAACTTGTGTTATTTTGTGAAGTCTTGCGTTATTTTGTGTGATGTTGTGTTATTTTGTGATGTGTTGTGTTATCTTGTGATGTGTTGTGTTATTTTGTCAAATGTTGTGTTATTTTGTGAGGCGTTATTTTGTGAGGTGTTATGTTATTTTGTCAGATGTTGTTTTACTTTGTGAGTGGCTTTGTTATTTTGTCAGGTGTTGTGTTATTTTGTGAGGTGTTATTTGTGAAGTATTGTGTTATTTTGTCAGGTGGTGTGTTATTTTGTGAGTTGCTATGTTATTTGTGATGTGTTGTGTTATTTTGTTAGGTGTTAAGTCATTATGTGTGATATTGTGTTATTTTGTCAGGGGTTGTGTTATTTCATTGATACGAACTGCAGATACACGTACATGTAAGTATGGTCAGAGAAAATAATTAACTTACAATTAGCGAATTTCGACGTAAGAGCTACGTTAAGCGTGAACCGAACTGTAAGTTTTACTTTTGATGTAACAAAACGTCCGCCTTGAAAAACAAATGAACATTAACCACCTTTAAGATGAATAATCCCCTTACTTCTTACTTCTAGAAGGCGTTGCATGCGGTTTCATTATTTATAAAACAGCGTATGGATTAAGTGAAGCAGATTTAGCTGTGTTACAGAGAGATATTCAATCATGAAGTAAGTAAATTGGATCTTTTCTTTAATTTCTGATTTTATTCTCTCTTCTTAAAAGCATTATTATAGTGCAAAGACGGTGAAGGTGTAAAAACCTGATAAATCAGGTATTTGTCTTTCTTAGAAAATACTTGAGGTCATGTCTAGAAAAAGTATTTGGAAATCAATAAGATAAACAATGTTACATTTGTCTTTCAAAATCGTAACCGGAACATGCATATCTCATGGACTTCACATATCTCATGACACTTATATATCTCACGGAATGCTTATATTTCGTGAAACTGGCATATCTCAGAGAACTTGCATATCTGATGGAATTCGTATATTTCAAATATCTTGCATATCTCACGGACAATGCAAATCTTATGGAATTTTGCCCGTCTCAAAGAACTTCTCATGGAATTTGCACATTTTTTCGGAACTTGCGTATTTGGTGAGACTTGCATCTCACATGACATCTGTATGCTCTATTTTACGGGACCCATAAATTAAAACAGTTGGAAAGAGTTTACAATAATGTTTTGTATATGTTTCTGTATATACCTGGCATTACCTTAATATATTGTTTACTGTAAAGTCAGATTCCTACTTAATGCTCCTTTAAAGGCGGCATAATCATAATTATTTCAAAATAAATCGCAGCAAAGACCACATGGTGTTTTTTGTTGTTGTTGTGTTCTTTTAGTTGTTGTTGTTTGTTTGTTTGTTTGTTTGTTTGTTTGTTTGTTTGTTTTAGTGTGGGAGGGGAGGGTGGTGGTAGGGTTGCTGATTTTTTTATCCATCACAGCTTTTAAATTGATAATTGAATATATGAAAATTATTAACTTTTCAATTTTCTTTTCAGTTGATTGATTTATTTCTATCTTTACAGAATACAAACAACAGTTGCTATCTGCATCATACATGTATATGCAACGCTGATAGGTTTGGCTGACGCGAAACGCAAAAGCGGTATGCAGTTAGATATTTTCAAACTTTGTAAAATATGAAAAATAGGTCCTTAACATATTATATTACATTGTATTATGATATGAAACGTGAAAAATCTCATTCTATCCAAGCGCTCTAAAACCATACGTCATAATCTATAAATATGCAAGTAAATATTTGAGCCGTGTCATGACAAAACCAACATAATGGGTTTGCGACCAGCATGGATCCAGACCAGCCTGCGCATTCAAGCAGTCTGATCAGGATCCATGCTGTTCGCTATTAGTTTCTCTGCTTGTTATATGGTCTGTAGGCGAACAGCATGGATCCTGATCAGACTGTGCGAATGCGCAGGCTGGTCTGGATCCATGCTGGTCGCAAACCCATTATGTTGGTTTTGTCATGACACGGCTCATTTATGTTTATTCACATAAAATTATCCTTGATGACATATTTCTCGATCTTTTTTCATATCTGATTCATTCACAATATAGGGTTAATACACCCCTTTTCCGTGCATTGACATCTGGGCGGCATTTAAAGCTTGAGCTCACACGTTCCCGGATTACGGGATCCACCCCCACCCACCTCATCTCCCTTCCCTTTAGAAGAGTATTCTTTTGGATCCGTTGTTACCTATGAACAAGGCTAGAGATATTATTCTTAAATTAAACAAATTGACCAAGCAAGTTAATAAGATATTTTCTAATTTGATTTGACAGAAAACACAATGAATAAGTCATAGAAAATATTAGCCATCTTCCAACCTGTCTCTGTATCTGAAATGGACATGACACATTTTATAAATTTTTAGTTTCGTTAGCAAGGGTTTTAATCATTACACATAATATATCGTTTGAACGAATATACAATCAGTTTTCATTTGCTTATGTCATTAAGACATAAACGACAAATAATTTGACGCTATATAAAGCATGTATTCTACACAAAAATTTGTCTTCTTCTGCAAGATCTAAATCAAACGCAATGATACCAGTTCTGCATTAACAATCTTCCATAATATTCTTTGAAATGACATAATTATATTCATTTGAAATTATGAATTCCCTACATAGAATATGGACAAGTGTTATATGTATAAAATAAGAAATCAATGCTTTCAACACATACGGATTATAACAATCAGATATGCACATATTATCAAGATACAATGTCATATACTTTTGGTGGATATTCTCTCAATACTTTGAACTGTATGCCTCTTTAAAAAGAATTTACCTCCTAAAAAGGAACCTGTAGCATTTAAGTTTTTTTAATGTCACAAACGAAATCTGCGGTGTATTTAAGATAGTTTGAAGTATTTAAGATAGTCAAGATAGAAATAAGGAAAATTTTACTCAAAGTTTAGTGGCATGCACCCGGGGCAATGGCTACCTGGCATAGATGTCAAAGAAGGTTTTATTATTACTTATGTTAAGTATATCTTACAATATTTTCTAATAATACTAATAAAATGCATGAACATAAACTTAAGCTAAATTTTGTATTACAAATACTTTGATTTTTTCCGTTAATGCATAAATATTTAATTGATTCCACATTTTATGTTTGAAAATTAAAGTTTTCAACTTTTATAATACATAGCTCTAAATATATTTTAATCTAAAGTTTAAATAAATATCCGGTCCCCATCTTTATTTTTTTCAGAAGAATATACCTTCGGGATCCGTTGTTATTCGTGAATGAGGTTTGGGATATCGTTCTTCAATTAAACAAATGGACACATGAAGATAACACGAATGTTTTACTTGATATATTTAATATAATATGCAATCACTATATTTGACTAATAGAAAACCTTTACCATTTCCCAACATATACATTTAATGTATTCGCCTGTCTCTGTTGTTTTGAAAGGACAGGAAACATTTTCTAAAAAAATAGTTAACAACATTCGTCAGCGTTGGATTTTAATCATCACACAGAACATGTTATATTAACAAAATATACAAACAGTTTTCAATTTGAATTTCAATTTCAATTGTGTCATAAAACAAACGACTAATAATTTCACACGATTAGAAAATATGTATTGAGTATTTACTTCTGCACAATAGTTTGTCATTTTTGCACAAAATTTAATCAAAAGCAATGATTAGAAATCTGCATAACTTACTATTCCTTACATTAGCATACATACATTTGACAATATACATAAAAGAAGGATATGTATACAAATTTGATCTGAATGAATAAGATTGCAATCAACATACATTGATTAATAAAATTCAAATATAAACATGTCATCAAGATATATAAAATTATATACTTTTGGAGGATATACACCTCCATTCATATATGCTCGAATAACGTTTGTTTGCGCAACCTTGACGTAGCCATTTTACGTTTGACGTAATATTTTGCATGCGTCATTTTCCCGCGCTTTGTGAAAACAGTCAAAATTTAATAGTTTAAATTTACATTCTGCCAGTGAATATGATATCATATTCAATGACTAGTCAATAATTGTTAAATATTTTTAAAATTTTTCAATAAGTGATAACAAATAGTTATGTTTGAAATATTGTTATGAGCATATTATTTTAAGGATATTAAATTTTGTACATGAGCAGCATATTACATTGTTTTACTTTTCACAGACGTCTCTGATTGTGGTGTAGCAGGAACATGGAAGAACCAGCTTGGGTCAAAGGTGACATTTTCTTGTAAAAATGGTCAGATAAACGGCAAATACAACTCGGCTGTTGGAAATGCCGAGGATTACTATTCGTTGACAGGGCGATACACGCGTGCAGGGACTGATGACAATGCGGTGGTACTTGGCTGGGTTGTATCCTGGAATAATCAAATGTTTGGAAATTCAAATTCATCGACATCTTGGTCGGGTATCTATTATCCGGGTGAAAGAATCATCCGAACACAGTGGCTGTTGACCAGATTTAAAGAACGCAACGATTACTGGAAAACTACGATGGTAAATCATGACGAATTTACGCCAATAAAATGAATTATAACTGTAATGTTGCAATTTCCAATTAAATTGCTTAGAATCTGTATAAATACATAAAACGATAAACATTGTATCTGTCTTCTTTACTCATAAATTCCTAGTGAAACAATACATGCCAAATTATTAATAACTGTAATTACTGTAATTATCTGCCATGATTCACGACTTAATTACATTTAGTAAGAATCCCTGACGTCATAAAGTCATCATTCTTGGGTGACAATTCTGAAGACAACTTGTTATCAATGTGATTTTTATTTTAAGCTGGGGCTATCAACGATGATTGTAAAGCGATTAAGAACCTCTAAAAGGCCATTCACTGTGGGTTGTGTGAGCTTTACTGTATTCCAAGTGGGTTATATTGAGATAAGGACCACCTAAAAGGCCTTACACCAAGGGTTATATAAACTTATCTGTATTCTTTGAGGCTATCAAAGTTCCTGCGATAAAAAAAAACCTTTCAGCATGGCTTTTGTAAGCCTGATTGTTATCACGCTGAATTGTGCGAGCCTGGCTGTTATTAATGTGGCTATTATGGCGGATTCCAAACGTTCAGGACCTCCCAAAAGACCTATTCCGTTAAGCTATCACCGGCGAACATATTGCAATAAGTAATGTATCACCTTAGGTTGTGTAAGCTATACTGTTTACCGTGAGATAAAAACCCTTTCTAAAAGGTATATCACTTTGTTTTTTAGAGCTTGTTACCGTGAACTTTATTGCGACTGGAACCCTCTACAAGGCATAGCAACGTAGGTTGTGTAAGCTTAATAGTAATCCCTTACGCGATCACTTTTGAATTTATTGCGATTTAAGCCGCCATTAGGCTTATTTCCGTGGGTTGTGTGAGCTTGACTGTATTCCCTGAGACTTGAACCATTATGTTTTATTGCGATAAGGGTCCTCTTCAAGGCCTTTCATCGAGGGTTGTGTGAGCTGGACATTATTCCCTGAGGCTAACACCATGGGATTAATTTCAATAAGAGCCCTCTAAAAGGCCTATCACCATGGGTTGTGTGAGCTTGACTGTATGCCCTGAAGCAATCACCTTAGATTTTATGGCAAAAAAATAAAATAAATAAATACATAAAAATAAAACAAAAACAAAAAAACAAGGCCTATAACTGTTAGTTGTGTTAGCTTCACCGATTTCCCGGACAACATCAGCTTGGGTTATAATGCGACTAGAACCCTCAAAAAATCATCTCACAGTGGGTTGTGGGCGGAGGATACATGTATAACCGTAAGATCTTTTGCGATTATACCCTCTAAAAAGTATCCGTGGGTTGTATGAACGTAACCGTTTTCCCTGAGATTATTATATGGGTTGAAGTGAATAAGAACATCCTTAAAGTCTATCACCGTGGGTTGAGTAATCTTGATTGTATTACTTGAGGCTATCACAGTGGGTTTTGTTTTAATTAGAGCCTTAATAAAGGCCTTTCACTGTGGTTGTATGAACTGGACCATTCCATGAGGCAATTAAAGGAGGTTTAATTGCAAAAACAAGTCTAAAATGCCTGCCGTCCGTTTGGTCAGTTTGACCGTATTCCCAGGGGCCACCAGGGTGGGTTTTATTGCGATAACAACCCTTTGCCTATCACTGTGGGTTGTGTAAGCTTGACCGTGTTTGCTGAGGCTATCACTTTGGGCTTAAAGGCGATAAGAGCCCTCTATATAAAATGTTTAGACTTTCGAACAATGCACCATTCGTGGAAAAAAAACTCTATAAATATGTTATTAAGTGGTTTCTGACTAAAACGCACTCATAAAATGTTCTTACAGATCTAGATCCAGACCTATGCTCGTGAGATTTCCGCGTGGCATGTTTGTTTTTGGTACCAGCTTCTTGGTCTTTCTCTATATAAATGTATAAAATTAAGTATAATGCACCATATCGTGAAAAAACACTACTAAAATGTAACTAAGTGTTTTGTTACAAAAACGCACCTATAAAACATTCTTACAGGGTTTCACGTCATTCAGAGTAAGCCATTTTAAAATGAACGCTACGTTTTTAAAAAAGGTATGTGATCCAGTTGATTGCATTTGTATAAATCATTTTCTTCACAGTAATATGAGTGTCAAAGCTCTAAGGCAAGGACAATGTTAGCAGGAGGTCTGCGTAAAATGGTCGCTCTTTGGACAGGTGATTTTTTATTTGAGTATATAAAAGCCTGAGAAATACCGAAATAAAGACCATTTTTCCAATAAAAACCGTTATAGACCGTTTGACTGATTCCATTTCACATTCAATTTTGTACACCTTTAAGGTGTCTTCTTCGCACAATTTGAGGATTAAAGTACTAACACAAGAAATATGTCCGAGAGATCTCCGCATGGCATGTTCGTTAGGAAACGTCTATTTGTTTTTTTTTCTTTACAAAGTGTATAAATTTTCGTAAAAAGCACCATAATCTTGAGCATTCTGTTAAGACACCATTAGTCCGATTTCGTTGCGGATTCGATTTTGTATAACTTTGTAGGGTCTTATTTGCATATTACGATCCATAAAGCCCTAACCTAAGAAATTTGGCCGAGAGATTTCCGCATGGCATAGTCGAGTTTTAAAACGGCTATTCGTTCTTTTTCTTTATAAATTGTATAAATTTTCGTAACAAGCACCATATTCTCGAGCATACTGCAAAGACATCATTATTCTGATTTTGATGCGGATTCGATTTTGTATAACTTTGTAGGGTCTTCCTTGCATATTATGATCGTCAAAGCCCTAACCTAAGAAAAATGTCCGAGAGATTTTTGCATGGCATGGTCCATTTTGGTAATGGCTATTTGTTCTTTCTCTATATAAAATGTATAAATTTTTGTAAAAAGCACCATATTCTCGAGCATACTGCAAAGATACCATTGGTCCGATTTCGCTTTGGATTAGATTTTTTACAATTTTGGAGGGTCTTCTTTGCACATTATGATCGTCAAAGCCCTAACCCAAGAAATATGTCCGAGAGATTTCCGCATGCCATGGTCGATTTTTATAACGGCTATTTGTTCTTTCTCTATATGAAGTGTATAAATTTTCGTAAAATGCACTATATTCTCGAGCATTAGGCAAAGACACCATTCGTCCGACTTTGATGCGGATAAGATTTTGTACAACTTTGCTGGGTCTTCTTGGCATATTATGATGTTCAAAGCCCTAACTCAAGAAATTTGTCCGAGAGATTTCCGCATGGCATGGTCGTTTTTGATAAGTGCTATTTGTTTTTTTATATATTAAGTGTATAATTTTTCGTACAAAGCACTATATTCCCGAGCATACTGAAAGACACTATTCGTCCGTTTTTGATGCGGATTCCATTTAGTACATCTTTGTAGTGTCTTCTAAGCTAATTGTGATCGTCGAAGACCTAAGCCAAGCAATATTTCCGGGAGATTTCCGCATGACTTCTTGGGTTTTTTCTGGACTTGCCAGTTGTTCTTTATCTATACAAGTCTATAAATTTTCGCAAAAAACACAATATTCTCGAGCAAATTGTAAAGACGCCATTTGTCCGATTTCGTTGCATTGTCAATATTGTACAATTTTTGATGGTCATCTTTACTCATGTTGATCGTCAAAGCCCTAACCCAAGAAATATGTCCGGGAGATTTCCGCGTGGGATGGTCCTTTTTCAAGACCTGCAAGTTGTTCTTTACCTACATAAATTGTAAAGAATTTCGAAAAATATATTATTTTCTCGAGTCGACTGTTTAAACACAATTAAACTGATTCCGTTAAAAATTACATTTCGTACAACTTTAAAAGGTCTACTTAACATAACATAAGGCTCAATGATCTAGCTCCAGAACTATGCCCGTAAGATTTCCGCGTGGCATGGTCGTTTTTTGGTACCGGCTATTTTGTTATATAAAGTGAATAAACTTTCACCATATCATGGAAATAGCTCTATAAAAATATAATTTAGTGGTTTGTGACCAAAACGCACTCATAAAACGTTCTTATGGGGTTTCACGTCATTCAGAGTTAGCCATTTTAAAATGAACGCTACGTACTTAAAAAAAGTTATATGATCCAATAGATTGTGTTAGTATAGAGGTTTTTCTTCACAGCAATATGAGTGTCAAAGCTCTAAGGATTTGTTGGAAATTGACTGTATGGATTTTAAGAGTTTATGTTGTAGATGAAATACTGAGCAAGAAGGGCCTTTTTATTCGAGGGTCATAACTTGGGTAAATATCAGTCAATCAAAGTTCCATTCGAGCACTTGCAGTACCTTTCAATCTTGTAACATTTCACTGCGGAAAATTTTAAGACAAACTTTGAGAGGCTATAACTCGCTGAACTGGAAAAAACTGACGGTATGCCCAACTTGTGTCTAGGTCACAAATAAAACGGCCGCAGCCTGACTTAACAATTTTTACAAAATCGGCGGCTTTGACGATTTCGAGTAGGCCGGGCGATTTTTAATGTAATACCGTGCGTAGTCATGAATGAAACTGTCGCAATTAAAGACCAGGCGGTCACCGCCCAATGTCCGGACGGCGTCTGTGCGATTAAAAAATGAATCGGACGGTCGCTGCGTGGGCGCCGGGCGGTAAAGCCTTGTCATTTTATGATATTTTTTTAAAAATCAGTCAGTGGTCAATATGCCAGCAAAGAAGGCAATTGATAGAGACAAGATGAAGACAAAGCAAAAATGCAACAATTGTAGTTTGCCTTTACCTTACTACTAATCAGCGTAGATGTTCTTGCTCGACCATAAAATTCAGGTTAAATCCCAAAGAATCCACAGATACATTTCTAGGCAACTACAAAAATCTCAAAATATGATAAACAAGATCAACAAGGAAAGGCGGCGCTCAATGAACGCAACCCCCACACGACCCAGCAACAAGTACCAACGGCAAGGAGCCCAGGCGGACCCCAAACACAAAAAGGACAGGGCAACGACACGTTAATCATTAAATGATAAACAACCAGTAACCGACCAGGAATTCAAAGAAAATAATAATAGGCCCACAAATGGGAAGGGGACAGGACACCGGGGGAAAGGGGGGGGGGTTAATCAAAGAAATAAAAACTAGAGGCAATGGGGAAGATACTTACCGT